CAAGAATTATTAACTGCGTTGGCTCAGATGTGAAGTTCAGATTCTTTTTAAGATTCTTCTGATTTTTCTTCAGTACTTTTTTCTTGGATTTTTTTTACATTAGTTTGTCCCTGAAGTTTTGGATTACGGCCTCTCCTTTGTACCCAGGCTCTGAAATGCCCTCTGATGCAGCACTCTGTGTCATTTCTCCATGTTATGACCTTTAAGTGTCACTGGGTCCAGATTTTGAATATGCAGCATCCATTTAATTCTTATATACAGCACATTAATTCTATTTAATTACTTTTTTTGTGGATCACTTCAATATTCAAGCTTAAAATTACCCGTGCGGTATAGATCTATTACCACTGTCAAGGAAATCCCCATATTTCAGCAGCACTAGCAGCTGTGTCTGAGCAATTCATGCTATTAAGCAGCAGTTATGTCTGCTTTCTGATCATTATCCAGGAATGCTCAGCACCAGCATTGTGAATATGCTGCAATTCCTCTGCAGATACTTGGACAGAAAATTCTGTCTCTTGTGCCTTGTAAGGTGGAGAGGTAAACTCTTGAATGTGTCTGATTTACTACTAGGGTGAGGATAGGTTTTGATCCTAATTGCAGTCCAGTGATTCCTGCTGAAAAATGTACATGGGTGGATATTGGATGAGGCCGAGATTATAACCATTGTTAGTATAAGAGGCTGACAGTCCCCATCTAAGCTCATACCTGAAGATGGTGACTTATGGAGTAGTTGGAGGCCAGCCAGCACCTATGCCACCCTTCTCCACCCTGTCCTGAAACACTGTACAGTCTGACCCCTGAGGTTTTATTTATCCACTTGAAACACATCTCTATGTAATGTCTTAATGCATAATGTGGAAAACTCACTGGAATTTTTTGTGGAACATTTTGTTGATGTTTTGTTTGGGGGGAGAAAGAAAGTTACATTTATTAATAAGACTGTAGAAACGGTGACTGGAAAAATTGATTGGTAGCCAGTGTAACTACGGCAGGAGAAAGAGCAATGGGATCCTGTATGTAACAGTACAGAAACCATTTGCTGTTCCTTGCCTTCTTAAACCTCCACACTGAAGACACTTAACACATTTAAGGGTGTAGAAAGTTATATTTGGGTCCTGAAGTATTGAGCATCTTGTATAAATGCATATAAAAAATTGTAAGGCGTGTGGGAATTGAATGACAGCTCAAACGATTAAATTATGTAAGATGTACTATTTTGATTTTTTTTTAGCCTTTTCTAAGCTTGTTAAAGGGTTCTGCCGTTGGAATTTGTTCCTTCCACAGCACTGTTACTCTTGCTGACTGTGTGCTGTGACAGGAAAAGGAAGTGTCATTGCTATAATTTGACAGAAGATCAGGCTTATATTGAGAGGTGACTCACCCAGTCTTACACTGGCTAGTGCTTCTGGAGTTACTATATGTAGAACAATAGGTGGGTGGCAGTGAGTTAGAGCTGGGAATTCAATTGCGTAGTTAGGATGGTGTCAAACTTCGAGAGGTTTATTATATAGAATATTTTTTTAAAAAATATTTCAGGCTTTCAAAACCAGAGGCAAGGAGTGGGAGGAAGAGTAGATTAGTCAATGTACATTATAGTGACCTAGAACCTGGTGATTCTGTTTGAGTGTTTTCTTTCAGCAGCAGGTTACTGGCACATTCAACCGTACAATTGGTATTGAAAAGTGGCCCAATTCTACTACCTGATACTGTTGGGTATCAGCTTGGTTTAGTTGATAGCAAACTTGATACTAGGTTAGAAAGTTGTGGGTTCAAGCTGCTTTCTTAACAATGAGGCTTTTTTTAAAAAAAGCACATCTTATATCATCAATGAAACCCTGTGTGCATTGCAGATAGTCCCACTGATGCTCCAGTGCATTGCTGGGAGAGAGCTGCAGTTCAGAGTTGCTGTCCTTCAGACGAGGCATTAAACCAGGGTGCTTTCCGCATGCTCAGGTGGGACATTAAAGTTCCCATGATAGTTTTTGAAAAGAGAAAGGAGTTCTCACAGTGTCCTGGCCAACTAGCGTCATTCTGGGAAGTGCATTTGAGCAAACAATGAATGCAACCATCTCAAGAGTTTCACATACTTCCTAAAATGTTGACAGTATGACCCTCATCCCTGTTGACGGAAGATAAACTTCTGTCGCAATGTAATGATTTCTGTTGAAGTAGTAACAAATGAAATGCAATGCATGAGGTTGTTTTGAAGTTTGTGGAATTGCTAGGACCCTGTGCAACATTTGGGCACAAAACAAATATAGATGCATGTCCCCTTCTTCCAGTCCTACACTTGCTTAACCATGTATTGGGGGGAGGAGGAGGATGACTATGACCTTATTACACACAAATATACATTCCGATTCAGGTGTTGGGAGAGCTGTAACGTATTTATTCAGTGCATGTGCAGAGAGAAATCCTGCCTTACAAAAGTCCTTTGTAAACCATTACACAGCACCCAGTGGCTGGAACCACGCATGCACAACCACACACTCCCTGCACAACTGCTCAGCACCGCTTGACAAGATGAGTGCCCTCGGTGATCTCCAGTCTTGGTCAAAGGAAGATTGAAACAATCCTTTTGCCCTACAGCTAAAGTAACCAAGCGGCTCTAACAGTTCTTTTAGGTTCTTTGTTTTGACGGTTGTGTTGATTACCAGTTGTCACTAGATGACTGTGCCCGGAATCATTCATTACATTAAATACAATGTATTAAGAAAGTAATGGTACTGGGTATCAGCCACCATAAAGCATACAATCAAATTTCTGATTACTTTTGGTAATTTCATTGGGATTAGGAGAACACATCTTAAAAATAGCAACAAGCAAGTCCAACAGTTACTTTTGATGTGTACTTGAGTAATCAGTCTTTGAACAACTTTCTGGGCGCGCTTTGAGGAATCCATTATAAAATAGCAATTCTTCATTTATTTGTAGGGCAATGGGGGAAAATGGCATCGCAGCACATTTTTCCTTTAATAAAATAACCCTTGCATTTGATATAACACCTCATCACATTTCAAACGTCTCAAAGCACTTAAGAGCTCTGTAGAGTGCATCGACTGTATATTTGTAGGTGAACATATCAGTCAGTTTACCCATAGCGATGCGTCATAAAGAGCCATGAAGTGAATGCCAGGATAGCGGGAGAAATTACCTTCTCTTTTTGAATAGTGGCCTGGGATTTTTAATGTCCACTTGAACAGGCATCTGGGATCTAGGTTTAACATTGTATTCCAAAGGACAACGCAAAGTTCCTTCAGCAATATACTGAACGTCATCTTAGATCAAAGCCTTGACATGGGGTTTGAACGCGTAACCCTCTGCCTGAAGAAGTGAGTGTGCAACCAACTGAATCAGGCTGATGCCTTCTCACATTTCCTGCTTTGTAGTTCTTCCTTGTTCATAATTGTTTGGTAGATTACAGAAATGATAGAAGCTGTGAATTTCATTATGCCAGTGAGCATCATTTGTGCAGTAAACATTACAGAATGTGTAATCGTGCGAGATAAAAACTGAGGTCACTGAGCAGTAATTTGGAGTCCAGATTCTACAGTAGAGAGAAAGTGAAATGGAAATTTACAATTCCTCTACAGGTTGCAGAACAAACCAGCATTGGTGGGAGACTCAGTTTTTTGTAGTCTTGCACAATCTGTGTGCCTTTGAGGTGTATATACAAATTAACTTATTCCTGTAACATCATCATTGAGACGAGGATCGTCTATACAGCATCAGTGGCAATGTTGTGTTATTCTTAGTATCTCTTTTACATCAAAAAACCTTTCCCTTTCTCCTTACCCAACTCTTCCCCAGAAACCAGACTTATGGCATAAAGAATAGCCACTTGTGTGAGTTACTCGAGTGTGTCTGGTATCTGAACACCAGCAAGAGTCAAGACCTCTAGGAGGAGTAAGCAAAAATATTTCTAAAAAGGAGGCAGCTCAGAACGTACTGCCAACAATAGTACATTGTACAGAAAACTATTTATACTTGGCTACATGAATACAATAGGTATCGATGTTGGTTTAAATGAATTACAACCCCCTTCTCATAACAATTTTGAATATTTGTGTTTATGGATTATAAATGGTCATTGAATTTGTCTGAAGTCCATTATGGAAAAATACATTTACATCCGAATGTGGATAATAATTCATGGGTGATTGCTAATGTATTGAAAAGAGCCATTGAAATGTAAATTATTTAATAATGCTAATGTGAGCTTTATAGACCTTTATTTTTTTTAAAAAGTACAGCTATTTGCAATGTGGTCGATCATGAGACTTATTGCAACCAAATTGTGACATTATTAAGCTTGGTAGAATTCAACACAGTTTTAAAGGCACACAGATTAATTTTGCAGTCAAATAATGCTAGTCAGGGCAGGTTTATCTGAATAGCTTTGGAAAAAATGATTTTTCATTTCATCATGAATTGCAAATTATCAGATTAATCTGTCCTTGAAAGAGGAACAAAGTAGACCAATGTGCCTTGTGTCAATATGTTTATTTAAATTTAAAAAGACTCCAAATTAAAACTACTGATAAACAGACTGTGTATCCGAGAACTACAGTATGTGACACCATCAATTGATAAATCATTCAGTAGTTCAGTAATGGCATTAACACAACAATTTTGCATGTGCTCTAATTGACGTGCCATTGATTTAAATATTGCATCAGAACTTGAATATTTCCACTGTTAGTCAACTGCATGGGGAAGTGGAGTATTTAAAAAAAATTGCACATGCACAGAATTACATAGACTGTACAATGTCGAAAGAGGCCATTTAGCCTATTGGTGTTTATACTCCACATGAGCCTCCTCCACCCATCCTAATCCCCCTCCCATACCCCTCTGTTCCCTTCTACCTCATGTATGTATGGAGTTTCATCTTAATATGTCTACAGGTGTAGTAGTTTTCCACTAACCTACAGCACTGGGTTTCATTCTTTACAGTACAATTGTTAATGTGGCCTCTCTCCATTCTTGTCTTGCAGGTGGAACGGGAGATAGCCATCCTGAAGTTAATAGAACATCCACACGTTTTAAAGCTACATGACGTATATGAAAATAAGAAATATTTGTAGGTATTACTTGTTTGAGTGAACATTTCACTGGTTTGTTTCTGTTGACTTGGTAACTTAATGCCTGTTTATTCTACTTCTTTTACTGTGTTCATTGACTTTTGACAGTGCCCCCAATTGGCATGGAATCCCAAGTTATGATTTTTATAAGTCTTCACACAATTTGACTGAACGATTTGCATTCTAATTTCCCTGATGGAGCAACATCTTAGCCATTCAGACAGGAATGTCACAGGATGGATTCACAGTCTATGCTGAGTTAGCTGGTCTCAACCAGAGCAATAGTTTCTACTCCATGATTATGAACGGCCTTAATGCTACAGGATCAGGAAGATGACAAATTAACCTGGGCTCTCGCTCCCAATTACTATTTACTGATCCTTGATGACAAATATATATGTATTAGATGAGGACCAAATCAACCTCAGCAATAATGTCTCCACCCATGGTGGACTAGCTAGTGTTACCCTGTACATGAGGTTATATGTCAAGAATGGACATGGGGAATTTCCTTGTATAGGTGATGTGCATGGAACTCTTATCTGGTTTGGATGCTCTTAAGCACGGTGATGGATTTTCATGTGTTGGACACCGGTCCGACATATGCAAATGTCTGACAATTGTAAAATCATTACAATACAATTTACATTTCTTTCATGTCCGGAGGATATCTCAAGAATGGATACTTGGGCAAAGCAAAGAACCACACTGCAATGTCCATAAAATTGTACTCCTTCAAGAGTCTAGTTTCTGGGCAAAGCTTCTATTAAGTTTTGACATTTCACTGTGGAACCCTAATTGGCTTTACCTGAGTGAGCACATATATTAGCCACAGCAATGCTCTAGTCTATGCTGTGTTTTAAACCCCTGTGTTATGTAAAATTGACTGTTCAGAGACGACCCGCTTCTGAAGCTGTTAAATTACCAGGTGCGACATGATGCATTTCCTCACAATAGTAGAACCGGTCCATTTATCTTGTGTATCTTTCATTTTTTCATCTATTTTTTATCTCCTTTTGTCTTTCAATATCAACTGTGTTCATATTACAGATGATGACAGACATGGCACTTTTGTATTTTTTTCAGTTATTCATCTCCGTTCTCTCTCTGTGGGGTGATTATATTTTCTACAGCAGGGGGGAGATTCATCAGAGCTGTGAAGCTTTTCTAAATGATTTTGTGTGAACGTAAATACATATAATATTATTGGAAGTAAGAAATGTGTGGCACAGTGGCTTAGCACCCTGCCCTCCCATGGCGAGTACTTGCTTGATGAATGGGGTGAAATGACATTGGATGGTTTGTTTTTGAATAAATATAGAACTGTATACAATTCAGCTTCAAATTGGTAGTTTTACTCAGGAAAAAAACACGCCATAAAAATGATTAGGTGGGAAATGAGTGTGCCACAGTGGTGTAGTGGGAATTCTCTTCTGAATTTGGTTAGTTGCTGAGCGGGGTAGTGTATTTTCCCACCAAGCCGCAATATATATTGTCGGAAGAGCAGTCGTTTGGATAAGACTTTTAAGTCAATATCAATATTTAAAACAAAACTGGAGTTTCTTCTGACCAACAACTACTTGGATAAATTGGTCATTTACATCACTGCTGTGTGCAAATTGGGTATTCTTTATTATTAGCGACCCTATGTGATAAACTGTTACTGTTTGCAAGGAATAGAAGTATTCCATAACACAGATATCCCTCAATTACATGAGCAAAAATTGAAAAAAAATCAAATTGTGAAAATAATCTATCCTTATAGTTACTAATATGTATCATACTTCCCTTATTTACCATCTTTTTGATGCAAAAAAAAGAGAATCTGCTTTAGACGATGCCTGTAAGGATTTTATGTCGAGTTGCTCTGGGAGCTGCTGTCCACGGTGCTGAATCCCAGGCCTCATTCATAATGTCTTTAGAGAAGATATTTTTCGCAGTGGTTCTGATTTCAGGTTTCACTGCTGATTTGTTTCTGCATTTACTTGCCATCCTAATCCCTAGTTCCAAATGTTGCCAATAACTGATTTGTCCTCTGACAAGGTACCGGAATCTGATGTTTTTCAAAAAAGATGTAATGTTTCCCTGAAATTGTGCTAAATATGGTCAGGGAAAAGATCACTAAATGTAACGTTGTGGCTGGCAAGGGATTTATGATGCACCTATTGTGGACAAATTCATGAAAATGGGTTTATGGAAATGGGTTTGTGTAAAATTAGGTCTCAGAAATACTGACTTCATGATGGCAAATTTTAAACGTAGACTGCACCTCAAGTTAAATGGACAAAATGACTTGACTTAATATATATCCCGACGCTGAGCTTATAAAAGGTTACTTTCACTGAAAATCAACAATAGATGGGTAAATTGATTCAGGACTACCAATTAAACAAAACAACATGTTTATATGAATTAGGGTTGTGGCACCCAGTCACAGAGTTGATGACCTGGCTGGCTCTGCTCTATTGTACTGTTTTGTGGAGTAGTCTGACTCGGGGAGTGGGGAGAACCTTGTTGCTATTAAATATTCTTATATTTTTATTATCCAAGGTTGACTTTTAGAAACTGGAGTAACTTTATACAGTGCATTGTACTTTAAATATTGCGGCTGCAAGGGAAGATAACTTGTACCAATGGGGAGTGCATGTATGTCACTGGAAACCCGCCAGCTGTTTTTAATAATGGCAAGCTTCTCTGATGGGCTTTTGGGTGAAGGAACTCTGCCAAAGGGGCCCAAAAGGTGCAGTACATCTCCCACTCTGTGGTGAATTGGCTGATCTCATTTAGTCCCAGTCCTCCTGGGTGAGGGAGGCAAAATCTGCCAGGTTTCTACTTCTGACTTAATTTCACTGCAAATTAACTTACCGAATCCATGAAAGCATGTCAGTTAAGGTGCCAGTTAAATGAGATCATTCCACACTAAACTGGTTCTTGACCCTTCAGTCCCTCCACAATTATTAGAATGCAGATGTTCTTTAAAAGGCGCACCAATAATATCATTATGTATGGTGACTCAATCCCTCGTATGACCTGTAAATGATTAGGTAATATTCACACACATGAATGGACGGCTTTGATACGTTACCTTCTTTAAATGAAAATCCAATTTTGCAAGTGCAATAAAGCCTCTTCAGAGCCATTTATTTGATATTTAAATTCTACTCCAACCAAGGCTTAATTTGCTTTATTTTTTGTAAAAAAAACATCTCGGGCCAAAGAACTGCTGACATAAGAATCTATCACAATGTTTTTTGAGGTTGTTGATCATATGGTAATAAAACCTGCGTTCTTTCATTGTCAGTCTTATTATTCTACAATGCATTTATTGTCATGTAGTTGCCTGCTTATAAATTCATGTTCAGTTGCAATATTAGCTTTGTTTTAAGATTTGTTTCAGCAACTCTAAAATTCCCAAATGTGTTATCGACATCGTTCCCAAGTAATGAATTTCTTTATCTCAGTTATTTGTAGTTTAAAGCAGTGATATCATTGAGAGTTGTGCAAACCCAACATTTCTGTGTTAGCAGATTCTCTTATATATTGGAGCTTAAGCTCAATGAGAAACTGTCATTCTCTGAACCAAACTGATGCGTATTGTGGTATGAAAGTGTACAGAAAAGGATTATCCAGCCCAAGACAATTTTAGGAATCTTTCAATGCACTACAGTAGCTTCACCTGTCCATGCAGAACTTGTATTACGCAGCATCATGTAGGGAACGTGAGCTGGGATTAGACCGTCGTGAGACAGGTTAGTTTTTCCCTACTGATGATGTGTTGTTGCAATACTAATCTTGCTCAACACAATAGGGCAACAAACAATTCCTTCAAATTGAGCAATCTGTAGAAACCAGCTGTTTGTACCACCTACACATCCAGATTTTATTAATTCCAGACGCTAGTTTGCTCATCCATTTTAAAAAAAATTATAAACTAATTTAGTTTTTTTAATATTTTTCATCATCTTAGAAATACTGCCAAATGAGCTTTCCAGCACTTTACTAAAATGTGGGTTTTGCTCCTTTCATTTTCCCCTTGGGAAAAATTCCCAATCTCAGTTCACGATCAAGTTTGATGTCGAATAGAAAGAACGCTGCTTCATAATATTTAAAAGAAAGTTAGTGAACTATTTTATTTTTTCACCTTCACTTTATCCCTCTGCAACAGACATTCACAAAGAGCGACAAGTATACCAGCTCCTAAGAACTTTTACGTAGTTCTAAGATGATACTAAATGTTGCTTTATGCTCAATAGCTGGATTCCTTATGTTAATCCACCCCGATCTGCAGTGCTCCCACAATGGACACTGTTCATTACTCACAGTACCTTACATCTCAGTCCCATGTAAAGCCTCATTCTGTGGATTAGACCATCGCTAGTAATCGCCTATGCCNAAAAAATGCTGAATCCAAATGCGCCCAAGTGGAATGGACCAGTACATAGGTGTCTCTCTACCCTCTCAGGCATCCTGTCAATTTCTTTAAATGGAACAAAGAGGGGATGTGAATGCATTTTTGTTGAATTGCATTCCATGTTCTAAACATGCATGAATAAGCACACGAGAAGAGAATGAGGGGAAACTAATAAGAAAAGGAATGGACCAATGTCAGCCGTATTAGGTATATTAGTCTTGTTTCTAATACTGGCTCTGTAATCAGTATCAGCCAACCAAAAAACCTTACCCAGTAGTTTGCTGTGTTGGATTGCTAATAACCATCTTTATTGCACACATGGCTTCACATTTTAAATTGCAGTGACTCTTCTAATCGAAATGCTCCTCTCAGATAACAAAGCTGCCAAAATCTCAACCAAAGGATTATTAAAAAAACGGAACTACTTTACAAGTAAGATTAGTTTGCTGGGTCTTTGAAAAAATATTTGTTGGGAAGTTGTGTCTGTCATTTCTTAAAAACAAAGGTGTTTGGCTTTTTGCCAAATAAAGATTTAAAAAAATTCATGCACATCGGACTGGATATGACTCTTGCATAATTTATAGATTG